CACATCAGCAATTTCGCAAGCAGTAGTCAAACAAAACTACGCTAGGAATCACCTCACATCCGCCAATGACCGCGGGCACGGCTGTTCGAACAGTTTAATAACCTCTGCAGAGGGGGTACACTTTACCCACACGACATTACTAACCCGGATCACCCAGCCCGTGCAGAACGGCCACGTCTGGAGACCTTGAGGCTTTCATGACAAGGCATTTCGAAAGCTGACACAGGTTCACCATATGCCAACGAGAGGGGTCCCAGATCAACACCAGATTAGGTCCCAGACCATACTGTGCCAGGAAACCCGAGGGTTCTCCCCGGCACCACCCCGTTGAATCCACGTGTCTCTTGGCATTATGGCTCCCCCGATTAGCTAATTACTTAGCCAGGGGCGTCCCATTACACCCATCTGGTCGCACTTATCTTATGTTTGGATGAAATTCCAAGGAAACGGTCCTTAGTGCAAGAGCGGGAAACCGTACTCCCGGTACGTCCCCCGGTCTGCGATTTTGGAAATTCATTTAGTTCGCAAGCACCGACCCAGGTGTCGAGTTTTTCCAAGTCTTTTGTAAAACCCCAAGTTTTACCCACGTTGGATGTTTTAAATTTGAGGGGAGGTGTTCCGATGCCCGTGCATCGAAGAACAACAGTCGACAAAGGAGTTTTAGGTATTCAATAATTCACGGAGGGTAATTGCAGCAATTTAGGATTTGGGGCCGGCAGGCTATCTCGCAAGCCGCGGCCGAATTACTTGTGTTAAACCTATTCATGCAATATTTGCAGAAAAGAAATACTTAGTTTTAAATTATAGGTGCAAGATGTTCAAAGGTGACTTGCCTTGCTCGAGATCTTGAGCTTGATCCTCGAAATCCTCGCGCTGCGGGTCTTCGGGCTCCGAAACTACACGCGAAACGGGACAACTCAACAAACGGCGAAAATAAAGTCCTATTATTAACCTCTAAGCATGCCATTAGATAGATCTCGAGATTTGAGGATTTTTGGAAGTTGAACGGAGTCAAACGGATGTACGGTTGAGAAGTTATTGAATTTCTAAGATTATTGGATTTTTGGTCTAAAGGAAAAAGGATTTAATTAAACCCTTTTAAAAAAGAAAAGAAGGAGGGAGGGAGATTAGACTGCCCTCAGGCGGCTAGGGCGCGGCCCGAGAGGAGAGGGCGGCTCGGCCGAGCTAAATGGGCCGGCCGGCCCGAGAAGGTGGCCCAAGGGCACGCGGGGGGAGGGAGGGAGGGGGAACCGGTGGGCCGGGTCCACCTCGCGTGGTCCCGAGTAGGACCCGCTTGTCGGCGGCTCGGCTCACCGTGAGCGAGGAGCACGCGACGCGGCGCTAGGGTTCGGAGGGGGCGCGGTGCACGCGCGCGGCTCGCAGTGGGATGCGGATGCGGCGAGCCCACGCGCAGCCTCACGGCTCGCGGTGGACCGTGCGAGCGAGCAGAGCGGAGGGGAGCGGCGGACCGGGGTCAGCTTGACCCGGTCGCGGCCGAGGTGGCGCCTATGTGGTTGCCACGCGGACCGGCGAGAGGAAGACGACGACGCGCCCGCAAACAGACGGCCGACGGCGGCGGCGAGCGGCGGGGCGATAAACGGCGATGCGGGCGAGGGCGAGCACACTGGGAGGTAGCGCGGGACTAGAGGAGACGAGCTAACGGCTCGGATTCGCCGGAGGGAGTGTGACGGCGGCGGATTGCGGCAGCGGCAACCAGCAGCGAGAGAAGGGAGAAATGGCGACTGCGCGACGGGAGTTCGATTCCTTCGCACTAGAGCATCTACGCGACTCCGGGAATCCATTCCTTGCGCCGGATTAGGAGGAAACGCACCGAGGGAGGCCGGCGACGAGAGGCGCTACCGAGCTCGGGCGGCGACGGTGGCGAGCACACAGCGGGCGGCGGCAAGGCTTGGGGCGGCGCCAGCTGACTACGGGGGGTCTACTCATGCTACTACCGAAAGCTAGGGGGAGGAGGAGGAACGAGGAGGGAGAACGGGGAGTGCACTACCGCGACGGGGTGAAGGGCGCAGTGACGATGGCCGACGGTGCGGGGCGTGATCGCTCCGGCCTCGGGCCAGGGAAGAGGAGGAAGACGTGTGCCCGGAGTCCCCTTCCGTTCCTAGCGCGCACTGGCTCCTCCGGCACACGCGACGGCGGAAGGCGACGGCAAGCAGGGCATGGGCGAGGCGGCAATGGCGCGGCGGCTTGGAGCGAAACAGGGGAATCGAGTGAGAGGGGGAGGGGCGGCTTTTATGGGGTGGTTATGTCGGTTTGGGTGGAGAGGAAACCGACCTCGAGCGGTACTGGGGCGAGGGAGCTTCGAGGGGAAGGAACGGGCTCACGAACGCAGGGTCAAACGGCATGGGCGATGGCTCGGCGTCAGGCGCTCCTCCCTGTCCATGGCGCTGGAACCGAGCGGGAGAAACAGAGGCTGGGCCAAGAGAGGAAAGGGGAAAATGGAGGGGGATAAAGGGAGCTCGAGCCATGCCAATTTGGGGAGGGAGAGAGATGGGAGCGGGAGGCGCTGTCTCTGGTTTTTGGACGGATGTGGGCGGCACGGCTCGGGCACGCGCGCTGGCTCGCGGGGCAGGGCGCGGCGCAGGCGGCGCAGCGCGGCAGGGCGCGGGGCCGGACGGCGCAGGCACGGGTAGCAGGCGGCTGACGACGGCGGCGACCGCGCGGGCGCGCGCGCGAAGCAACGGCGTGCGGGTTCGAAATTGCGGGCGGGGAGCTCGCCGGGGATGGAGCGGGGAGAGAGAGCGAGAGAGGGGAGAGCGCTCGGCTCGGCGCACGCACACGCGCGCGTGCGGCGCACGGGCAGAGCGAGGGAGAGAGAGAAGGAGCTGAGGGGGGGAGAAAGAGCGGGTCGAGAGAGAGAATCGGCCCAACAAACGACGGGGAGGCATATTAGACTTTTGCGGAGGAATTTGATTTGGGAAGGATTTGGATTCGGGATTTGAATTTGACGATAGATCGGGGATTTTGAGATCCGGAATGGCACGGATGCTTGACAACACTCAAAGGACAAATTTTGCAATTAGGGTTTTTAAGAATTTAATTTTCTCGCTAGGCGCCACGACGGAACGGGCGCTACAGACGCGGGCCGGCGGCTGGCGGGAGAGGAGGCACCGCGGTGGCCGGCGAGCGGGAGATGAGGCGCGGCGGCTGCCGGAGAGGAGGCGCAGCGGCAGTCGGCGAAGAAGACTTTTTTTCTTTTTTTCCTGTTTTTCACCTTCCCCTTTTATTTATTCATGTCTTTTTATTTATATTTAGATTTTTTATTGTAGTATATTGATATTTTTATAGGTTTGGTGAATTTTAAGGGAGGTATACTCACTACCTCTAATTAAAGGGTGATTGTAACCACTCATCCATCATACTCCTCCAACCAAATAAAAAAATGGATATCACCAAATCCACCTCTATCCATACAACCAAACAAAAAATGGATCACCATATTCACTCCACCTAACAAAAAACCGGATCGCCATATCCAGCAAAATATGGATCGTTATATCCCATCCAATCTTGACCGGAAACCAAAACACACCCTAAGTAAAAACAGATTGGTTGGGCCGAGTTCTTAAAAAAAAAGGATTGGTTGGGCCGAGTGCTAAAAAAAGTGGCTGGGCCGAAGGAGAAATGGGCAGATGCAGAGAGCCCATTACAGAAACAACTTACGGCCCATAACTTCTATCAGGCAGGCAGAGCACTGGAGCATATGCAGAGCAGAGTTTGTGAAACCGAAGAAAAAACAGAGCAGAGAAGAGCAGAGGAGGCAAAGAAAGAGTGGAAAATGTATGATGATGGAGTATGAGATGAACCTGCTGTAGCTGTAGGAATAGGATCACACAAATCTGATGCATTCATGGTCAACCAATCCATCATAAGCGCCTCTCCTCTCCTCTACTCTACTCTCTCCCAAGAGATCAACATTAATTGGAGGGTTATTGTTTAATTTTACACCAAACCAAGACAGCAGCTACTTGTGCATGCCAAAGAAATGACCAGAGTTTGAGTACCCTAATAATGCACTAGTTTTATTTAAGCACTAATTAAGTGATTAGGTTAAGAGAGAAAGACAAGATGTGGAGGGCTAGCTTTCCTTGTCATCCATCAACTAACTAGGAGTATCGTCTCTGGTTCTGCTCTGTCAAGCTGTGGAAGAGAAAGAAGGGAATGGACCAACCAAACCAAACCAAACCAAAAGACAACAAGGCAAGCAAGCAACAACAAGTCTTCCCTTCCATTTGCAAATTCCTTCTATGCATGTGGTGGGTTCAGCCCATTATTTGCTTTGCACAATGCACATCAACATCCATCCCAACGCACACCCCCCTTCTTCTGCTGATTCTTATACAATGCAATTATGCATGCTTACTTGTACGTACATGTGTGCTAATCAACTGATTAAATTAGCCGCCGGCATGCTGATTAATTTAGCTTTATGATCGACGACAAAGCTTAGCTGGGGCCGAATGAATTGTCTGCATATATACTATATAATGATGCATTCCGGATTGCTTTAATCTGATGTTCTGAATAAGTTTCAGAAAGAAACATACATTCTAGTTCTACTCCTATGTAGGAAAGGAGGATTTGATAGGCAGCCGGCCCAACAGCAACAATAATGCAGCTAGTTATGTACGTCCCCACATCACTCACATCTAAGCATAAGTCCAGCCAGACCCTCCATCTCCCTCCAAAAGATTAGATTAAAATAACAGCCACATTATCAAACAAGCCAGGCCAGAACAGGCCAGCAAGTGTAATCGATCACTTTGTTAACTTCTTCTTCTTCTTCTTGTATTGTACAATGATGCGCAAGCAAAGCAAGCCAACCATAAAGACAAAACATGGATGGATTTTCTTCTTATTCCTAACGCGCATAAAAAAACTAGTACTGGTATCTTTCCTCTTTCTTTCTTTCTTTCTTTATTCTTAAGCAGGGTGAGGTAGTGAGTAACAATGTGGACGTACAATACAACAACATTTAATGATTTTTAAATAACAAGGAATCTTGTATATATATGATCATGCATGGAGGGTGTAACAGCAATGTGGGAATGAATCAGCTAATTTTGTAACAATGTAATTACCAGGCGGTATCATCATCAGTCAATCAATAACAAAATCTTGAAAAGAATCAATAGTGACTAATATTAGAAGTCCATCCTCTAAAAATGTACTCCTGCTAGTGCCTAAGACGACAAGGTAGCAGGGATTGATCTAAGCTAATGACATGGACATGAGCTCCTACCTACCTACTGAATGAATGAATGGGTAAAAAGTATCGGTGTATGTATCTTGTGTATAGGGCAATAAACTTAACTGGTGTGGTGTGTGTGTGTGTAGTATGTGTGTTTTCTGGTGGTTTGGCTTACAATGGTGTTGAGATGGACAGTAGGAGAGGATGATTTGCTGGTGTTGGCCCGGTGGTTGGGTTGCTTTTGGGTTTTCTTTTTTGGAGATGGACAATGCGCATCTTTTCTTTTCTTTTGTTTGGACGCATCATCTTCTTCTTCTTCCTCCTCCTCCATCTGTTAATGGTGGTGATCGATCGAAGGATGGATGGATGGAGAGAAGAAGTGGAATCTGTTGGGATGAGCAATGCGAGTAGCAGATAGAAGAAGCCTTGCGTTGCTTACTTTTCGCGTGCTCCCTTGTCGGCATTGCCTCGCCAAGAATGCTTTTGCTTTCTTAATTGTTGGTTCTTTGCTTTGCGTTGCGTTACCTGGTGATGTTGATGACGATGACTCACGAACCGAACGGGGCGCGCTGGGGAATCCCCTTGCGCCGCCTCCCCTGCGGCCGTGCGCCGCCGTTCTTGCTGCTGCCGCCGGCGGCGGCGGCATCGTCATTGGTCGCATCGCCGGGCTGCACGGTGGCCCCGCGACCACCCGTCTTGGTGTCCACCAGCTGCACGCCGCAGGCGGAGGAGCCGGAAAACAGATTAAGCGTGACCCAACAGAACACACACACGATGACACGAACAAAAAGGAAAAGAAAAACAAAAATGTAGTACTCCCTCCACTTGTAATCGTAGATGAGATTAATTGAGAAAAACGAGTGCATTGGCATTATATTATATGTAGGAGTAGTCGCGAAGAAGAGAAGAAAAGAAAAGGAAGAATTATATTAAAGAAGAAATAATGGTAGTCCGTCCGTAGTACCTTGCAACCGAGGGAGCAGAAGCGGAAGGGGTCGAGGAGGGCGCGTGCGCAGATCTGGCAGTTGTAGGGGGAGGCGGCGGCCTTGCCGGCGGCGGCTCCGGCGCCGCGTGGCTGGGGGCGCTCGTTGAGGAAGAGGACCTTGGCGCTGTTGATGACGTAGGTCTGGACGCCGGAGATGTCGAGGACGTCCTCCACCTCCGTCACCCGAACCACGTCGTGGTAGGAAGAACGCCGTATCTGCAACGCACCAAATTAATTCATTCGTTTATTGCAATAGCAATTCGAAGAGGATGCCTGACCTGGATGACTCGGTGGGATTGGTGTCGGTGGGAGCGGCAGTAGTAGCAGAAGGGCGGGGAGGGGGAAGGGCAGTCGAGGCAGAACATGTTGCACTCGTTCCGCGGCGACGCCGGGTGCGCCCCGCACGCCAGGAAGAAGCGCGTCGACAGCAGCGTCTCCAGCCACTCCGGCAACCTCGTCGTCCCTGCTGCGCCCTCCGACATCAATGACGCCGACGAATGGCAATGCCGGCACCGGCAGACGCAACCAGCAGCAGGAGAGAAAGCAAGAAAGGAAGGTAGAGACCAGTGTGGTGTGGTTGGTGCTTTCTCAATCGGCTTCGCCTACCGGAGTGTGGAGTATAATTGTAATTGTGGCGTGGCGTGGCGTGCATTGGAGTTGGTGTGAGACGCGATGCGATGCGTTTTCGAGACTCGCTCGTTGCGTTGCGTTGGTGGTCCTCTTCTTTCTTCTTTCTTCGCTCGTTCGCTCCATTGATCTGCCGGTGCCCACGCCCTCTAGTTGCGTCCCTTGGATCTGCCGCTCCTCATCTTCCTGCCCGTTGGATCATTACAATATCAATCATCAGGTCCTAATGTACAAACAGCTTCCTTCCTATCCGTATCATCTTCAGTCCTCTGCTAGGTTTATTGCAAACCCGCATCCATGGATACCATTGCCTATTTGCCTACTCCCTTCGTTTCGGATCATAAGTCATTTTAACTCAAACTACTTCAAGTTTAACTACATTTAAAGAGAAATATATTAATATTTATAATACTAAACTACTTTAATAATTTATAATTGAATATATTTTTTAATATATTTATCTTAGATTGAAAATGTTACTAATTGTTTTCTACAAACTTAGTCAAATTTAGAATACGTTAGCGGGCGTTGCTTTCTTTGGGGACTTGTTTAGAGTGTAGCGTGGCTCTGTTCCTTCCCGTTGTTTGGAGTAGCGTTCGAGTTTTTCTTTTCCTTTTTTCTCTTCTTTGTTTTTTGACTTTGTTTTTTCCCCTTCCTTGGCATAGGCCGGTCTGACCAATTTGCGATGTGTAACAAAAAAAACTCTATTCCTCTTGCACGTTCACGAAAAAGTCAAATTTAGAGTAGTTTTGACTTTAACCATAATAAAAACAACTTATAATCTAAAATAGAAGGGAGTACATTACAACAACAACATGAATTTTCTTGAATACATCTCCCTTTCCTCTATACGATGGGCTGATGAGGGACAGCATAGTGGTAATACCTAGTATAATTTTAAGGAAAGGGAAAAAAAAAGAATGCCAAATTGTGAATTGAATAGATGGGGTTGTTCGTTTGGTTTTTCAACATGAATTTGACTTGTCTGAGTTGTTGGTGTTGAGAAAAGGAAGGATCCAAATACGACTATTAGCTGGGAAAGCCTGAGAGATGGGCCCGGCCACACACGGTCTTTGCTGCTCTGGAATGTGGCGGTTGGAAGGTGAAAAAGAAGCAGCAGCAGCAGCAGCAGCAAACGCAAACCCATTTGGGTTGTTGCTGTAGGGCCCCCGGGGACCACATGGCAAGTGGGTTCATGTGCCACTGCAGGTGGGGCCAAGCGAGAAACCCCAGCATGTACATTTGCGGCGCACTCACCGATGTGGATCGCGCCCCCTCCCCCCCCCCCCCCCCCCAGTACAGCAAGCTATGGCTTGGCTACTCCAGATAGAAGTAGAGGTGGGATTTGACACTCACTGACAACAAATTCCTTTGCTTTTGCTTCCTTCACCTGCAGTACTACTGTTCACAACAGTTGCATATTCCCTTTTTCTTTTCTTTTCTTTTTTTTTCAGGTTGGTTGAAAAGGCAACAGGTACAATTTTTATCTAAGACAAATTAAGCAAACCCAAAAACACACGCGCGCGCATTGAACAAGGATTAAGTTACAAGTACTAGTAGTATCTGTGAGCTGAGCTAAGGGTCTCTTTGAGGGAGCTTTTAGCTTCTTCCATAATCAGAACCTCCTATAAACAGACTAGTTCTTTTTAGATTCTGAGAAATTGTACTTATAAAACCTAGAATATGCCGGAATTTAGTAATACCAAAATTTTGGTAAAGTTGAAAACGATAACAAGCTGAACAGGTCATACATTTTTACAAGTAGCAGCAGCGGATTTCGTAAAAAAAATCCCATCAAAAGTATAAGTGGTGGAGCTAGCTCCCGGGTTGGTCATGCAGCCACTCATTCCACCGCTAACATTCTCACTGTCCTGTTGTCCATGATATATTTGTAAAAAACATCGATCATTGAAGTAGCAAATTGCTCAGGCGTAACAATGTCAATGCCTCCGTCAGTGATTAATACTAGTGTTTAGTTCAACTTGAGCTTCACCAGTCAAGGATCCCGGAACTTGAGCTGATGGAGCCCTATTGAACAGTTCCGTCATATTTGTTTACTTAAACACCGTGGGAATGCTGGAAAGTTAGGGGTGCCACGTCATATGTCTGCTTTCAAGCAAACCGAACGATCACACCAAATGCTGCTCCCTCCCTTTCAGCTAATTAACCTCCTCGCCCGTTCGCCCGACAACTTAGCTCTCAGCTAGTTAGCTAATTAAGCTTGTAATGCTTTGATTGATTAATGGAGCATGTAACATGTCTACTGCTCTGCATAATTTTCTTCCTGCCGACCGTAATGACATTACTATTGAAAGATCGAATCAGCTTAAAACATGATCATATAATCAGTCTAAAAAAATAAGAGCATATATGGATGCCACTAGTAAATACTAGTAATATTATACTTGACTAATTGACATTAGGTACAGAGGCCGGCAACTGTTGATACAAAATACTAGTCCGAACAAGCAAACAACATTTCTGCCTGTGATGTGAGGTCGTCATCCATGATCAGCTAGTACCTGTACTGCTTACTCCAAACTGAAGGTTGGGCGGCTTATACAATAACTAATATGTATCCATCCAAATTAACCAACGTCATTGCTGCTTGCGTCCTCATGATACAGCTCCATCTATCATATCTACTAGGACCACTGCCTTCTACTAGTACTAATATATATATACTATTAATTTTTATTAAATAAATGGATTAATTAGTACGGAGTATACATATAGCTCCAAGCTGAAGCCCATCCCCCCTGCTCCCGTGATCGATCTATCTATATCTGTCACGACAAATAATCAAGCTCTTCTCTTTTTCTTTTTTCTGAAAAAAAAAATCAGACGACAACTAACTAGCTAGCTATAGTGTTTCCAATTCCTCATAAATATCCCTTCTTCTCTTCATCACTATACACTCCAAATCTTTGGAAAAATGAATCTTTTGTGGGTGTCTTAAACGGGAGGAAAAATCGGATGCTCGTGGCCTCCACCACTCTACTCTTTCTCTCTTCCTTTATCTCCATTTTCATCGACCAAGGCAGTAGCATGACATCCTAGCTCCATTGTTCAATCCAAAACGAGATTTGGGGAGAGACGTCCCTAAAAACTATCAAGTGCATCTCCGCCCCGAGGAAGGGAGGTAGCTAGTGCTCCTTATACCATCAACCATGTTAGTGGGGCCCATTGCATCAACTCAAATCTAGGGCTTTATCATGGATTCGACGATTTACTTTCTCTAATGCCAATATTTCTGAGATGCAGTGGTGACGCGCCAACGAGGAGACAATCATGTTGTTTTGCAATATATCATTATTTTTTTAAAAAAATATTGTACATGGTGTTCTTCGTATGCTTTAACAATTATTTTTGTCGATAGTTAAAATTTGATGTTTCATTTGTGATATAAAAATGTGTCAAAATAGGATTTGGCAATGTTTCATTTCTTATTTGTTTTTAGTGGTATCAGTAACTAATACTTATTTCAATAGCTCCATTTTTTGTTTTATATATGCTGTACACGAACGAATGTTTTTAAGTTAAATCTAATAGTAGCTAGCAGAGGTACTACCTTGTTTTTTTTTAAAATAGGGCGGAGGGAGTGAGTAGTGAGCATAGCAGTGGCGGCCAGCAACCGACGATTATATTACTCCCGGGCAGCGTGCAGATGCAGGTGAGAGAGAGTAGCTAGTAGTATTGAAGAAGAGTGATGGAGAGATAGCGAAGTGGGGTGTGGCTGAGGAGTTTGGTAACTAGGCAATTCCATTCAATTCATTATATTTTGTGTAGCATATGCATCTATCTATCTTTATATTTTGGACAACTTTACAGATAAATGCACGCCCAATTAATCAACCATCAATTAATAAATACTCTCTCCATCCAAAAAAAAACTCAACCTACTATAACAACGAATCTGTATAAAGAGGGTCATATCGTTTTTTAGGTTAAGTTTTTTTAGATGGAGGAAGTACAGTATTTAATCTGGCGTGCAGCCAGCAGCATATATGCTAATCGATCGATAAATATGATCAAAATGTCCAACGTACTTCACTGACTAGCTAACTAGCACATGAGAGTACTACTGCTATTATTATTCGCCGTACCACCGATCCTCATATAACTTGTGCCCACCACATGGCTTGCCCATACGTCCTCGAGTTTTTCTTCTTCTTCTTTTTTCGACAAAAAAGAGTAACTCAAGTTAATATAATGTTAGCAAATGGACTAGCTAACACTTAAGCTTCCTCGGTACATTACACTACAAATTAATTTGGTATTATTGTTTACACAGAGAAAAAAAAGGTTTCAAAGTGGGCGGTGGGGGCAATGGCGGCGTGGGAGTTATCGGAGGTGGAGAAGATGAACGGGACGGGGACATCTCTAGGGGTGGACAGAAATCTCATGGCTCGTTAGCTCGCTCGGCTCGTGACAAGCTCGGCTCGGTTTCCTAACGAGCCGAGCTGGCATGTCAGCTCGTTAGAGATCGAGCTGGCTCGCGAGCTGCTCACGAGCGAGAACATATGAGCTGTGGGCCTTTGGGTGTTAGCCGCACAGTCACATAATAAAGGGCTAGAGGCCCAGCCCAACAAAAACCCTAGTCTCCTCTCCTGATTCCCTAATACCGTCGCTCCCGATCGGCCGCCGATCCCCTTCCCTCCCGATCCCTTTCTCTCGATGACCCGCTCGAGTACTCGACTCCTCCCCGTCCACCAGCCGCCACCCGCTACTCCGCCACCTGCCACTGCCAGCCACCAGCCTGCCACCCGCCAGCCATCGAAGGAAGCAGCGCGCCACCGAAGGAGCGAGGCGCCCGCCACTGCCGCTCGCTGCCTCGCTCTCCACCGAAAGAGCGTGTGCGCGGCGCCGGCGTCTTCTCTCGCCGCCGCATCCGACCGTCCTCACTCTTCTCCTCCTCTACCGTTCACAAGGAGCGTCGTCGTCTCCTCCTCTGCTGATGTGATGAACTGCTGATGTATCATGTGTGTGATTGTGGTCATGTACTACTTGTGAGACTGTAGATTTGCATACTCAAAACGGTCAAACCACCTCTGTGACTGGTCATGCACAGACGCACTCATGCAGTCATGCTTGCTGTTGCTGAAGCTCGCGAGCCTAACGAGCTAGCTCCGAGCTTTCAAATGAGCCGAGCCAAGCTGGGTTTTTAGCTCGTTAGGATAACGAGCTAGACCGAGCCGAGCCGAGCTGGCTCGCTATCCACCCCTAGGCACCTCGCTGCCATTCGAGCTTCAATAGGATTTAGGATATTGCACACGGTGACGGTGGCAACGAAGACGGCATAGGAACTCCAATGGAGGATTTAGGATTTCAATGTTGGAAGGTGGGTTAAAGGAGAGCAGTGTGCATTCTCGTAGTATCCTCACGGTATCACCAGGCGTCCCCAGCCTCACCACGAACCCCTCCAGAGCGAGCAACACTATCATTTTCGAACTGTTCCTTCCACCTTTCAAGTGCGACACCATTGCACGCCTCGGCTTTGGTGTAGTGAACAAGTTATTCGTGGAGGTAGAGCCCGTGGCGCCATTTGAATCGGAGGATGGCGCGACGACAGTGGCGTGCCGTTGGTTGCGGCGCCACCAGACTTTTCCTTCATGCTCATGGCATTCTAGGGGTAGGTGTTGGATATCGATCACGTAGTGGAAGTGGGAGGGATTAACATGTGGACTGATAACGATGATTTATATGGGTTGACATGTCACGTAGGAAGAAACTAGGATGCAAATCATTAAAGGAAACAAAATGAATATTAATCTCTCTAAATGCCGTGGGATCGCTTGAGATTTAGAGCGTCACGTCAGCCGATTTTTGTAAAAACAACCCTATACTTTTAGTTAATTGTGTACCGGTCCCCGCTACTATCCACCGTCCGATTTTACCATAGGGTCGATCTGGCCATCCACGTGTTCCACTGTGGCATCGTTTTCACACCCGTGGGATCGTTGGATCGCGAATGAACGGTGTGGATTTTGCCCGCCCGTGAGAAACCCTAGTAGGTTTTAATACTTGAGGGTTATACCTGGTCTTAGTACTGATGGAAAAAAGTTGAGCTTGAGTCATAGAAAGGAGTTTCTTTTAGGCTTTTACTTTTTAGTTTTCCTAGTTATTATACTCATGCTAGTTAGCCCAGCACAGAAACATCAACACATACACCTAAGGCCCATAACCTAGTATAAGGGCCCACAAACAATAAAAAAGCCTATAAACTATGAAAGTCAGAGCCCACGAAGGAGAGCGTACGGCCTACTAAGGGCCCACGAAAGAAAGCTACGGCCCAATAAAAGCTCGCTAAGGAAAACGTGTTGGCCTGCTAGGACAAATGATGGAAACGTGGCGGCCCAATGACGGCCCACGGGGAAACTTTATGGAAAATGTAACGGCGGCCCATAAATAAAGGAAAATGAGGGAAATCTCGGGAAGTTTATTTTTTCCCCTTCTTGTAGTTGTGTGTTAAGAAAACCAAAACCTTTCTTATACTGTAGATATTTATCCCAAACCAATAAAGCTGGGGCCTGGAGTAGAGCTAGAAGAATAATAATAATTGTACTGCATTGATTTAAGGAGGATTGCAGTTACGTGAAGACAGAGAAATGAAGTAAGACAAGGAAGAAGAAGCGAAGACTGAACAAGTGTAGTGTAGCGGTAGCGTGTTTCTCTAGAAAAAGAGAAGGCGGCTGGTAGATAGCGTGTGCTGGGCTTGTTTTGTTTGTCATGCGGCTGGAGGCCATGCAGAGACCGGGACCATACCGGCCTGGGCCGTTACTCTGCCTACCTATCTTTATAGGAAACCTGCACGATTTTTATACTCTCTATCTCACTTTTTTTTTCAGATAATTAAGAAACTGTATATCACAACAAGTTGAATCTTTTTTTTTTTCACAAAACACAATACAGACGCTCGATGTCACATCCCGCGCCTCGGCCTGGCTATCTACTACCACTTGAGCTACACCCAATTTACCACAAGTAGTGTTGAAACTATGACCACTTGGACTTGGGATTAAAATAGTTTCAGGTTTAACATCCCGAAAATTTCCAGGTTTACCTTTCTGAAATCAAAATATAAAATAGAAGGATGGAGCAAGCAATGAGTTCTCTCCATTTCAATTAATTATTGTTAGCTTTGTTCTGAGTCAAATATTGTTTTTAACTTTGACTACAATTTTTGAAATTTTATATAGTTTAAAAATTATGGTCAAAGTTAGAAATTAATATTTGATAAAGTTAAAACGGAGGGAGTAACTAAATGGAGTACGATCGACCACAAGTAGAGTACGCATGCAGTGCCACAACTCAAATACTAAATCACAAGAATATAAAGATTATATATATATATATATATATATATATATATATATATATATATATATATATATATCGGATTCCGATCTTGCCTGTACGTGATTGGGTTGATTGCGTTGCGTGTGAAAAACAAGGAGATATAGTTATGATCGACAGGTAGAGGCAGATATATAGTGCAGCTGTGGTACGTTACGTTGCATGCGGTTTTCCAGCAAACAAGCAAAAACTAACGACAAAAAAACAAACAGACAGATCGATCATCGACCAATCTATATGCATGGGATGATTCGATTCGTCATGGGTAAATAACAACAAGTAGCATAGCAGCAGTAGATGGCCGGATGGATGGATCGATCGAGCAGCACTCAATCCAATCCGTCCCAATTAATATCCCCCATTTATATCTGTGGATGGATGATGGAAGGGAGTAGTACTTCCTCCGTTTCTTTTTAAAAAAAAAGGTAAACTTAAATAAGGATGAGATATATGTCTAGATTCATTGTTTAAGTTATATCTCATTCTTATCTATGTTAGTTTTTTTTCTTAGATGGACAAAGTACACATGTATAGATAAAATGATCAAACGAGATGGATGAGAAAAACAGGTAATTAACTACTCCTACTATTTGTATTTATTTATTACTAAATAGATACTATTTCTAAATGTACAGCACCTGTGGATCATAGTACACCATGTACACGAGTATAAAATAAAATATAAATAGGGACATCCAGGTCATGTCATTCATTTCTAGCTAGTTAGTATCTCATCTCCTTTTTGCTGAGGCTGAGGGAGAGGCAGAGGCTGCCTCACGCATCCCTGTCGATCTCGGTCAAGAATGGGGTTGCTGATGAGGCCCGTCGCCTTGCTCATCTACTGCACCACCGCCTCCCTCTTCTTCCTCACCTCCTCCTCCTCCGCCGCCATCGCCGGTGGCACGCCGGACGGCTCGGAGGAGTGGGGCTATGTCCAAGTACGCCCGAGTAAGCATCTTCAACTCTTCTTCTTCTTCCTCCTCCTCCTTTTACTTTGATGATATTGTGTATACTAGCTTATTATTGGGTATATATTATATTGATCCATCGATCGAAATAATATGATTATGATGTTGGTCCGTATATACTATGTACGTGCAGAGGCGCACATGTTCTGGTGGTTGTACCGGAGCCCGCAGCGCGTGAACAACAAGGGCAGCACGCCATGGCCGACCGTGCTCTGGCTCCAGGGAGGCCCGGTAATCAATTCATTAATTAAATCGTACATATATATATATATATATAGTCATCATCCAGATGATTATATATATATATTGATTGCAGGCAGCTAGCTGGTTCCGATATCGATCGACCACCCATATATGCATAATTGATTAATTTACTGATTGCATAATTATTTATATATAGTATATGAAATATAATTAATCATCCAGCTAGCTAATTAATCAACAACCATTGCTCCCTCCAATGTTATCGTAGTAGTACGTACGTAGTATCATGCATCTTGTGTAGTTAACAAACAAGCGATATTGCAGGGCGCTTCGGGCGTGGGTTATGGCAACTTCATGGAGATCGGGCCGCTGGACACCAACCTTAAACCCCGCCCATCCACCTGGCTCTCCAAGGCCGACCTCCTCTTCGTCGTAATACTATGATTTTGCTTAATTTCGATCTCATTATCTTAAACAAATTTTCTGGAGAGAGAGAGATAGAGATAGAGATAGAGATAGAGTAGTTGTAGGTTGGTGAAGGATGAATTGAATGGTGCAATGAGATGGCAATGGCAGGACAACCCAGTGGGCACCGGGTTCAGCTACGTGGAGGGCGGCGACAGGACATTGCTGGCGCGCACGGACGCCGAGGCAGCCACCGACCTCACCACTCTGCTCTCCCAACTCTACCGCAGCAACAACACGCGGCTGCAGGGGAGCCCACTTTACATCGTCGCAGAGTCCTACGGCGGCAAGTTCGCCGTCACCACCGCCTTGGCCGCGCTCAAGGCCATCCACGCCGGCCGCCTCGCCGCCAGCCTCGCCGGTACTTACACCCATATATCCACCATTGCCCCATTTGCATCTATCTCTACCCATATACACAGTAATCTCTTTATTATATACCTACACCAAATGAATGTGTATATATGTAAACAATGACTTAATCTTCATGTCTTTATGCAGGAGTTGCGCTTGGTAATAGCTGGATTTCACCCGAGGACTCGGTGGTAAGTACTAGCTCAATACTCCCATCACACTAGTTAATAAATTTAGAACGTATCATGTTTACACGAGTCTTCTCGTGTACACCCCGTATATATCTTGCACACCAATTAACAAATTTCAAAAAAAAAGAAAAAGATAAAATTTCCAACAGCATTACACTTATGTGTAAAGTTTTAACCTCAAATTCACTGCATTTTGAGAGTAAAAACAAAGATAAAATTTCTTACAATTTTAAGGGTATAAATTGATCACAATTTTATCCTTTTTTTGTGCTTCTTATGTAGATTGAATTTCAAGATGGAACTTTACACATAAATGTGTTACTACCTAAAGTATATGTACAAACGTTTTTTTAGAATTTTTGGTGAAGTTTGTTAGTTGGTATATATATTGTGTACATGAAAAATATTGTGGATATGATATGCTCTCAATTACTCCATCAGTCTAAAAATATAAGAGATTTTGAATGGGTGGAATATTTTCTACTACTATAAATTTGGACAGAGAGTTTATCTAGATTTGTAGTAGTATGAAGTGTTCTATCCGTTTAAAATCTTTTATATTTTAGAACGGAAGGAGTAATTAGTAAGAGGAAAAGAAGATATTTTGGGATTTGATGGAAATAAACGGTCGGGTGCCTATATTTGTTGGCAGCTTTCGTGGGGGCCATTGCTGTACCAAGTGTCCCGCCTTGACGAGAACGGCCTCTACCTCTCCGACAGGTTAACTTACTACTACACTACTTTTCGTTTCAAATTATTAGTCGTTTTAATTTTAGTTAAAGTCAACTGCTTCAAATTTAATTAAGTTTATAGATAAAATAATAATACTTTTAATCCAAGACAAATAAATTATGAAAGAATATTTAATTATCGATTTAATGAAACTGATTTGGTTTTGTAAATATTATAGTATATTTGTTTACAAACTTAGTTAAACTTGAAGCAATTTGACTTTGACAAAAGTTAAAACGTCTTATAATCTGAAACAGAAGGAGTGCTACTTTTTATTTTCATATCAGTTGCATGCAATGGTTGGCTAGTTAGTTGCTTGCAATTCATCCGTCCCAATTCAGTCTTTTTTTAATTACTTATTGTTTACAAAAATGGATATTAAGGCGACGTATAAATTAAACAAGGCAAATGCAAATGCAAATGCAGCCTGGCGCAGCAGATCAAGGCGCAGGTGAAGGCAGCACAGTTCCTGGAGGCCGAGAACACATGGCAAAGTCTGGAGTCCATCATTCTCGAGCAAGCCAACTTCATCGTGCGTCTCACTAATATTTATACTTATATACATATATGCACAGAGTTTGTATTAGTTTGTGAAAGAGAAATGTGATGGGTGCAGGACTTCTACAATTTCCTCAAGGATGACTCGTCGTCGGATGCTAATTTGGAGCAGCAGCAGCGGCAGAGGCTACTGGCGTCGCTGGGGCAGTCGAGGAGGCGCTACTCCAGCTACCTGAGCTCCAAGGTCACAACGGAAGGCGGCTTCGAGGGCATCATGAACACCGTCATCAGGGATAAGCTCCGGATCATACCCAAAAACGTCACGTACGTATACCAACATTATTTTACAACTTACATATATATGTATAATGCACAATGCATGCACATACAAATGATATAGTATTTCCTATGTTTCAATTTATCCCAATTTATTATACTAGATGTATCAAATCTCATCTTAGGTAGTAACATTTCTGGGACGAAGGAAGTATATGGGATCTCTGAATTTAATTGTTGTCCCATCTAACTTTAATTATATACTGTCCACGATCGAAATATATAGCTGGAGCGAGCAGTCAGACGATGTGTTCGAAGCTCTTGCAGGAGACTTCATGAAACCCAGAATCCTTGAGGTCGACGAGCTTCTCAACCTTGGCCTCAACGTCACAATCTATAGCGGACAGGTATCAAACTCAACTCTCCTCTCTGCTACTCCTACATTTATGTATGGGTCTTTCAACATGTGGATTTATCGCTTTGTCTGATCCATCGACCAATTACTTGATGTATGTCAGCATGTTCTACCTAGCTTACACCCAAACATTACACATCATGAGTCCTGGCTGTTGCTTTGCATGCATGGCACTGGCACAGTATCATGCTTCAGTTGTCCGTCAGGAAATGTGTTATCACCTGTTGTTTTGTTTGTCCGTCCCCGTATTGCCTAGTGTCATATTAATCCATACTCATACAAGGTACTAGCTCTACAGTACATGCTCTTTGATCGCCAGCAAGAATATATTCCACATGACAGACAGCAGTGCATGTTGCACACCTGCTGGTATCATCAGCATCTCTAGTCCATCTATCGGATTCGTGCAATCTCATCAGACACACATACATATCTTCATCAGGCTACCCTAGGTGCATATGTATATGTGATGTGATATCCTTAGGCTTATCACGGGCATATATCTGGACGAATATATGTGTATGTCAGCTCCATGCTTTCTTCTTGTACTCCTAACTTTTGTTTCTTGCACCAACACACAAAGGCCACCAGGAATATATAGTTGATTTAGCTTCATCTATTGGGAAAGGCACAACCTACATCGTAACAGACACATGACCCCTAACATGTGTGACTGTCCATTTTGTCTCAACTTCTGAACCATATTCTGGATATATATATATATATATAGAGTTACTAAATGCCAAATGCATCGCAGCAACCAACTATATATATAAATAAATAAATAATATATCTGAAGATAGCCAAAGTTTAGCTTTCTTATAGTTAATTAATTGGCAATTGTTCATTCAGCTTGATCTGATCTGTGCGACCAAGGGAACATTGGATTGGATTCAGAAACTCAAGTAAGCATTTGCAGTTTCTGCACAAACCCCCCCTCTCTTATTACTGCAGAATTAATGCATGAGAAGCAAATTACAAAGACAAGTGGTTTAATGGCCCATGCATGCCTGTTGTTTGATGTCAGGTGGGATGGTCTGAAGAACTTCACAAACTCACGCAGAGTGCCGCTCTACTGCAGTGGTGGTGAAGCAGCTGGCACCCAAGCCTTCCTCAAATCTTACAAGAATCTCAAATTCTACTGGATACTGGGAGCTGGCCACATGGTAAGTAGTAGTAACCTCTAGCTAGTATTCCAACACATATACTAGTATATTAGAGTAAAACAATGGTATTGTTGGAACCTGTGGTGTCAGCTACCCTGATTGCATGCAAGTGCAATTATTTTTGTGCAAGCATAGCCATCAGGATTTGGACAGGCTAGATTCAGTGTGAGCTGGAAAGAGTGTGCATTCATGTAGTACTAGTAGCTGGTGAGAGAGTTTCTTCAAGGATCAATAGCAGCACATGCAGAAGCAAGCAATACAGTGCCTTTGAGAAAGACAAGAGGCCGGCAGGGACACATGCACCAACAGTGATAGATAGATAGGGAGAGGAGGAGGGATCAGGGATGGAGGGAGCTTACTAGGACAGGCAGGTGAACTTGTGTAGTGGCTTCTTCAATGTTTGTCGATGCTGAAATCTATTTTCCTTCTCTTGCTGACAGGTACCAATAGACAACCCTTGCCCTGCATTGAAGATGCTTGGTGACATTACACAATCTCCTGCTCAGTAGAAAAGAGGAGGATGACACTACATGCTGACACCAACTGAAGATTCTTTTTCTCCTTAATTTCTACTTTCACCTTTTTACACAGAAAAGAAAAAGGATATCATAGCATTGATGAGATAAGAAAAGATAGCAGAGTGATATAAATAGAGAGAGAGAGATCTGTTTCACTTTATATTATAGTACTGGTGCAGCTGGTTTTTCGGTGACAGGGTACAATATAAAATCAAATTTATTGCATGCAGCTTGCATAGTGCAGCAGTTTCCTGAGTCATGAACTGATATGACCTGACCTTGGTTTGATCTCTTCAATGCTCAACATGCAATGCAAAAGTCTGATTGCAGGATATCCAAAATAGCAATGAACCACATCCTAAAATCGTCCAGTAAATGGTGTAACAGGGTAACAGCTAACAAGCGCCAGAGTTTCTGAACAAATGTTCACTTCGAGATGGTAACAATGTTGCAAATAAATAAAAATTGAGCCCCTAGTTTCGCAAGCAAAAAAGGGCCAAGCAACGCAATGTGAATAATCTGAAACCATTCTCAAATTCTACTATAGTACAGCACACAACTTCAGTATTCAGCTCTGCTGCAGAAAATTAGCTGTTCTGCATGCTACACACCATTATTTCGACCCCCTTTGCTTCATGTCCTACACTGCAGGCTAACATCTGAAAATCTAAATCCAAGAGCAAGATGACTACAAAAATGCCGCGTATATAACTATAGTTTCTTAATTTTTTTATTCAAGCTATTTACCACTGCTCGAGTTCTAAGGTATTCTTGGATACAACAAAATACAGGATAATGCCTATAAAACTGCATCCCAGTAGCCTACACTTTTCCCGTCTTACTGTTTCAATTTGTCCAGCTCCTTGTCCCAGTTAAGACCAAACATTTGGCGCCCAAAGGGCACTATCAGATTGTATCGGAAAACCTGTAACATTTGAGAAAAATAAAACTCCAGATTAGTCCATTTTGTTCTAGTCATTAAGCATACACAGGGTGGGCAGGTAGCCAGTAGCACCTTGTCATTTATTTGGCGAATTTGTTCCTGAAGCAGTCTGTGATCATCATGCCAGGTAGAACGATCATCCTCAGAGCGGTTCGCCCAAGCCTTCCTCAATGCTGATCTCCATCGTGCAATCATGCCTCGAATTTCCTTGTTCAGCTCAACCCATTCGGGTGCGCAGCCGTTCCTTGAAAGTATTCTGTAAAGTGTGTCTTCTGCAGGATCAGCATGAGGGTTTGAATTGAGGTTTAAAGGTTTTCCCTTCCCAGGTAGGTTTTCAAAGTGCCCTTCTTCCATTGAATGCCATATTCTTTGTTCCACAACATTGATTATATCAGTCTCAGATCTGCAACAAACAAGAAAAGTTACTAGTCATGTGACAATCCACAGTATTTGACAGTTGATCCAATTAGTGATGCAGAAACGTCAGATTTACCAATAAGAAACAAGCCTAAACATGTGCGTATTACACAATTTCTATGCATCAATTTGGCTAACTATTGGCTAGATTGATTGGTACGCTAATGTACATGGTAAAACACAAATGTTCAGACAGAGAGATGGAAAAGTTGTTAATAGCAACTTGCTGGGTGCATGTGGCTGGGCGAAGCTCTGAAGTGAAAAACTCAGAGTCATTAACAAGATATATAAACTTTTTACAGAAACCAGAGGAAGAAAGACATAAGATAGCTTGACAAATGGACCATGCGTTGCAGAAACATTTTGAAAATGATCATATGCTGTCTTGTACCTAAACTTAAACATGTTGTGAACAAGACATTTTTGAACCAATATCACGCTGTCACATAGGTATGCAGTTCCAACATTGTCTATTTTGTTGGTTGAGGCCAGTGACAATTAATTCATCAGCATCGTTACATATTGACTAATGAGTACCACCAGAAAGATAATTTTAATTAGCGTTGTTTCGGAACATTTATAGGCACTCAGTTGGTCCGTCATTGTCCATTGGAGCTGCTTGTAAGCAACAACATCATGCAGTATGCAGTTTTGGCTGTTGTTGTTGCGAAACTGAAGAAAATCCATAAGGTATAACAACTATAACGTTGATTTCATTATGCAATGTTCCACTACAAGCCTTGTAGTGATTGATTGTCCCTAACAGTGATATATATATATATATTTTTTACAATCGAAATACGCTATGTATCACCACAAATGCTTGCCCAGGTGGTAAGAGAATGGTATTAAAAAAAAAAGCTTGGCCAGGGCAGGTGATAAGTAGAAGAAGAGAATGATATTAGTTTCAGTGGTAATTTCATTGACTCTGTTCAGATGTTGCTCGAAATGAAATGGAAGCTGTAGATGATTAAATCAAGCAATTGGGTACAAAAGAAGAGATTGGTATTGGCATCATACTGGGTAAGATAATAATAGTAGTAGAATGCAAGCAACGGGATAATACGCTGCCTAGACCCTCTTGCATGATTACCGAAGAATGAATCGTAGAGGGCGGAGGGGAAGGGGGCATATAAACCTGACGGCGTTGGCGCGGCCGCGGAGCTCGGGAGGGAGCTTGCGGTCGGCGACGGCGTCCATGACCGCGGCCAGGCGGTGGTGGGACGAGGGCTTCTTCTTCTTATTCTCGTCGGCGGAGGGCCCAGGGGAGTGCGGAGATTCCTCCGCCCAGGGCGAGGACCAGAAGGCCCTGCGGCGGGCGGGCGCCAGGAGGAGGCGGCGAGTGGCGGCGCCGGCGATCGCCACCGCCATGGGAGAGAAAAAAAAGGGGATCGAGAGGAAGAGGAAGCTTTGTGAGTTTGGGCCTTTATTTGGTGGAGGCCCATTGATTCCTACGTGGGCTGGGCCGAACACGGTCCAGGTAGTTGGTCCACATTCCAGGTTGAACGATTCCAGCGGCGGCGGCGAGTGGTGGCGCGCGATCATCTCCCACTCCCACCGTTGTTCCTCCTCAACACGCGCCACTCCTCACATTCATTTCCACCTGCTCATCTATATCTATCTATCATCAAGCTGATCATCCATACTTGTTGATCGACCACCGGAGAAGAAGGATCTATCTATAGCAGCAAGCAAGCAGAGAAGAATATCATCAGAAATCGGAGATTAATCGATCGGGCGGAGATCAGAGAGATATATTAGATTGTTTTGTTTGATCGATCGATCGATCGGGATGGCTGCTGCTTCATCTGCTGACATGGAGAGGATCTTCAAGCGGTTCGACACCAACGGGGACGGCAAGATATCGCTGTCGGAGCTGACGGACGCGCTGCGGACGCTGGGGTCGACATCCGCCGACGAGGTCCAGCGCATGATGGCCGAGATCGACACCGACGGCGACGGCTTCATCGACTTCAACGAGTTCATCTCCTTCTGCAACGCCAACCCTGGCCTCATGAAGGACGTCGCCAAGGTCTTCTGATTCTTTTTTCTTTATCTCTCATCGCTTCCCATCCATCATATCATCTTTCCTAATTTATTTATATCTATTCTCCATTATATTCTTCCCTTTCATTTCTACCACTACCAGCAGCCTCTGCTAGCTGCTTCATTATTTTCTATTCCAATCTTATTTGGATCCATTCCATTCCATTCCTTGATGTTTTATTCGTTTGTACCTCGCGCATATATGCCTTAATTAATTAATTAATTAATTTTTGTGTTTCACTTCACTATATATTGTACTACTGCCTTTTCTTTTCTTTCCTAAATTAGTAGAGTCGCACAAACTATACCGCGAGATATAAACCTTTGTCAACAACTTTGTTTCATCTTGCTTCATGTTGTAACTGGATGGATGTAATTATTTCCCAATCTTAATACAAAGATACGCAAGCTTTATGCGTATTCTCGGAAAAAAACATACATACCACTCAATTGAACTCTAAAATGTCTATCGATTCAGATTTCAAACCTGTGTATGGTTTTGATAGGCTTGTCCGCACCTATATGGCTGTGTGTTTGGTTCATACTTAATGTTGGATAAAAAAATGTACATCCATGTGTTTAAGAATACAGTGATCTAATTTTTTTTATGGTACAGAGCGGATATATATGATCATCAGTTTTTTCTTTCTTTTTTCCTTTTTTTCTAGCTAGATGGATGAGAAACATGCCTTAATTAATTATCACTAATAAAATACTAATGATCAAGATTAGGTGAATATCATTGGGCCAGATGAGACAATCCAACGACTTCCAATATTCCCTCTCTTGGCCGCTCTATTCATCCATGCCCACCAAAATAGAGGGGGTTTCACTCGGTTACTTTACTTAGGCTACGTTCGGGCCCTCATTCCCTAGCACGTAAAACGAAGTAGCATTTAGCGCTTGATTAATTAAGTATTAGCTATTTTTTAAAAAAATAGATTAATATGATTTTTTAAGCAAATTTCGTATAATAACTTTTTTCTGCAAAAAAGTATATTTTAGCAGTTTGAAAAACGTACGTGCTGAAAACGAGGAGAGGATGGTAACAGACAGTGCCGAACATAGCTTTAGTTTGTATCGAATTTAATTTGTTATAGATGTCTAAGTTTAAACTTATGGGTATACATATATGATGAAAATAGATAAATTATACTCCCTCCATTTCACAATGTAAGTCATTCCAGTATTTCTCACATTCATATTGGTGTTAATGAATCTAGACATATATATCTATTTAGATTCATTAATATTAATATGATTATGGGAAATGCTAGAATGACTTACATTGTGAAACGGCAGAAGTAACTAAAAAAATTCTGAACCGGGTTCATGGGCACCTCTCTAGATATATGTAGGATGTAGCTTCGCTCTTGCTCACTAATCAAACACATTCAAAAGTTAGATGATTATCTCCCGAGCGTTGTTACGGTACAGCGGTCGGTACCGGTACCGCCCGGTACCAAAATCCTGGACGGCTGGTAGAGTTTGGTACCGGGCGGTACCAATTCTGTCCTTGTGCAGTACCACGCGGAGAACTGAGGTGGAAGGACAAAAACGTAACTTTGCGTGCAATAACTGGATCGGGAGGGATGGACGGGCAGCTCGAACCCTAGAAGCGTTGTGATTCTCGATCGATCGACGCCGCCGCCGCCTCCTGGATCGACGCCGCCGACTCTTGGAGGTGAACTCAGCCGTCGCCGCCGCCGCCGCCGGGAATGATGACATCGATGCCGCCGCCTCCGGGAAGGACGACATCGACGCCGCCACCGCTACCGGGAACGACGAGTTCGCTGCTGCCGTCGCCTGCTTCAACGTCGCCGCCGCTACCGCCGCGGGGAAGGACGACATCAATGCTGCTGCCGCCGGGAAGGACGACATCGACGCCGCCACCGCTACCGGGAACGACGAGTTCGCTACCGCCGCCGCTTGCTTCAACGCTGCTGCCGCTGGGAAGGACGAGTTCGATGCCGCCGCCGCGGCCTGCTTCAACGCATGCCGGAATCCGCCGCTCGCCGCCACTTGATTGCTTCAACGCATGGCCGGCGCCACTCTCTTCCGATCCTACCCATGCCGGAACGAACGGCAGATGCATACTGGTACCGAGTGGTACAATTTGCTGGACCATAAAAAATCTCTTATCTCCCATCCAAATATATATTTCCTGCTGCAATTGAGATTTAGTAGTAATTGATTTTTGTGATTCGGTAGTTTACATGGTAGTAGTACGTACATATATTCGGGATTCCACTTTGGTCACATCGATCGAAGTGAGAAGAGAATTGATGAAGCATGCACTACATATATATGCCTCCCATAGGGGAGTCTGAATCATTACCAGCTTTGAATATCCATACATATATTCATCATGTATTCCGTTCAAAGTCAGTTCCGGCCGGCCGGCAAGCAGTGCATGCATGCTACCCTCGATGGATCTGCTGCTGCTGCTGCAATTGCAATGGAAAGCAAAAATGAAAAGGGATAGTAGTAGCTAGCTCTAGGATCGAGTACCTTGCTACTATGCTTGTTTGACACAGCTGACAGAGGAGGAGAGGATTCGATCGATCGATCGATCAGGGAGCACTTGATGCATCCATGGCGATGGCGATCGATGCATGCATGCGCCCGGCCATCATCCATGGCTGCCGGCTACCCGGCATATTGGAAGTTCGCCATGGATAAGACATGCAAAAAGGAATATTGGAAGTTCGCTTTCGTAAGACATGCAAAATTATTGTCATTTTAATATATTTAAATAATATATTGAGAAAACATATGTGATATTATAAGAGAGAAAATATAATAATGGTAGCCGCGTAATCTGCGCGGACCACTGTACTGGTTAAAAAAAAAACTGGAAGCACCAACTTGGATGGTATCACACTATTCACCCGAAGTTGTGCAATGCAGCGTGCCCGTTTTCTCCATCGCCTACGTCCGGTTTCACTTTGCATACAAGCTACGCGCCCTATAATCATTTTGCAAAAGTATTATACTAGTAGTAGATCATCATATATAAAACCTGCTGTATTATTACTACTCAAGCTAGCTAGTATATTCGGTACTACTATTATATCATATTAAAGTACTCCTTGCATGAAACTAGCCAAATATTCAAGTTGACCACCACACAGTGGTATCATACTACTATCAATTTTCCACTTCACTAGATGGATGGAGTGTTAGGATTATATGTTTGGCCTGGAGAATTAATTAATTATAAGTTATAGCTATGTTTTGCTAGTGAAGTACCATTCTAAAATAAATTCATTTTTCACCCATCCAAATACAAAAAATACAAACTATAAAAAATCATACTTTCTCCAATCCCAACTTACATCTCTTTATCTTTATCTATTTCTAATGTATTTATTTCATACCTTCACAAAACTACGATGTAATAATTATTAATATTGAACTTATTTTGAAATAAAATAGGAGGAGCCAAAAATAAATTTATTTCGAACAGAGGATGTACTAGTCATTAGTCAATATCAACATATGCTTGTAGCTGTGTGACAGTAGCTATTGCTACTAGGAGTAGAGGCATATATATTTGCGAGCATACTCGGGGACGCACGGGAGGTGTTCGACGGAATGGGCCACAGGGACCTGCTCGCCTGGTACGCCATCAGGGGAATGTACAGTGACGTCCTCGCGCTCGCGGTGACCATGGTTCTTGATCACGAGGATTTTACAGGCGTGCGCGTATGCCAAGGACCTTGAGCTTGGTAGGGCGCTCCATTCCATGGCTATCAGGAGAGGGTTCATGGGGATGTGCCGGTTGGGAACTCGGTGCTTGTGATGTTATGCCAAATGTGGAGACTTGGGGTGGGCGTGCAAGGTGTTTGACAAGATGGTGTGCCGGGACTTGGGCACGTGGAATTCGATGATTTTTGGTTATTGCCGGTCTGCTGAGTGGGAGGAGGCACGGCATCTGCTCGACGCCATGAGGCAGGAAGGTACACAGCCAGGGGTTGTTACGTGGAATACATTGATTTCGAGCTATGCCAGGTCCGGGGATAGCTCATGTGAATTCCTTTTTGACAATGATATATGCTTTTATCGCTCATGTGAATTCCTTTTTTGTTTGTGCAGATTACAAGGATGATCCTTACATCTACACTTTTTGACAGTTCGAACCACATTGGCATTGAGCTAGCTGTGGCAGGTTCGTGCTGAATTCCCTGAAATTGAAATTAATTTCTGTAGTTCTGTTGAAACATTAATAATTCAATGTATTGGTAACAGGTTAAGTCGGGAACTTTGTTTGACAACATTCTTATCACTGATGACCCTGAGTATGCCAAGAAATTTGCAGAAGAAACCTGGGCCAAGCATAAAGATGTGTGTTGTCTTATCTTTAATGCACTGTACGGTTTTATTTTGTTTCAGTATCTAGTTGTGTAGAACTAAATCGTGTTTTGTCTGTGTAGGCTGAGAAAACTGCCTTCGATGAGGCCGAGAAGAGGAGGCTTGAGGAGGTAAGCAGGAAAACTCCATTTTTCTGAGCCATACCTTGATGTAGCTTCTTGTTTAACCTGTAATACATGACAGAACTAACAAAAGCATTTTTCAGCTCAAACTTTTTAAGAGAATAATTGTTCCTTCTTGCTAGGAATCTGCAAACTCTAAAATCGACGACAGCAACGACGACGCTAGTGCAAGCTCCAGACCGCGCTAGATACAGTATACACTAAACCTTGTGCTAAACACCATGCCTTAATTTGTATGTCAGGATGATGAGGATGAGGCGGACGATGACAAGGCTGATGTAGTTGCTGAGCAGACAAAGGACTCGGATGATGATAAACCACAGGACATCAAGGTCTCTGCTGATGAGAAGCCAAATAGCAGCAAGTATGATTCTTCCCTCTGCGAAGAGGGATGAACTTTAGATATCTTATTATTAGATGATAATATGTCATGACGAAGAGGCAACTGAATCACCTGTAAACCTATCCGAGGAGAAAAAAAAAATCCAAAAAACGAGAAAAAACGGATCGGTTACGGCTATTATTAGCTGGATGCATGGAACAATGGGGACTGCATGAACAATAAAATTTCCGTTTAGTTATCTTAATCTTATCATTTTCTACTTCTTTTATCTAATCATTGTGAACCATGCACAATCTTAATCAATAGCAAAGCACATATCCATACATGGATGTTGAGAATTTCTGATTGGTTGGGAAGCTAATGATCAGAGGTGATTTGCTCACGTTCAGATATCTGAATTTTTAGCTCCGTTTTTTCGCTTATTCCTATGATTATTAGTCAAAATTTGAATTTTCAACCTTAAATTTGGAGTTAGTTTTGGGGTTCTTTCATCAAAGTTTATTTTTCAGTTTTTGCTTTTAGATCGTTAAGAACATATATACTAAAGTTTCATTCGCAAATTGTTTTTCATTTGTAAATATGCCGTGAATAAGCCAAATGATCGATGGGAGCATTCGTTTCCAGAATAAAGCCGTGTAGTGTTAGTCTACCTAAAAGTTGGAAAATTAATTTAACTTGCAGCAACTAATTATGATGAATTACGATTGTTTGATCATGTGAATTAAGTCACAATAATTAACACGTTAATGAACACGCATCAAAATTCACCAAACATATACTACAATATTATAAGAAGAGATTATATCCCACCATCGATCGATTACACCATCATCAATAACTGAAGAGCAGCCTGACAGATGATTAAAATTACATGTCCATCCACCCAAAACACAAGTAATTAATAGGTCGATTATGAGAGAAGAAGAAGAAGAAGAAGAAGTCTAGATGTCGAAGACGTTCTTGCCGGTGAACTTGACCTCGATGGGGCTGACGTTCTTGCCGATGCTGCGGAAGTTCTGGCCGACGCCCTGCCTGCCGGCGTTGACCTTCTCCGGGTAGACGCCGTCCTTGGGGTGGAGGTACTGCACCTCGCCATTGGGGAAGACGCGGTAGAACTGGTAGTTGATCTTGTACTTGGAGCGGAGCCTGGTGCCCAGGGCCAGGCACTGCTCCTTCCTGGCCAGCTTCAGCAGGTTGGGGCCCTCGCGCATGATGGCGGCGCCGCCCGTGGGCATCTCGAACACCTGCTCCTTGGGCGACGTCCATGTGATGACGTAGAACTCCTCCACCTGCGCCTTCCGGAGGAGTCCCCCCGTGCTCCCGCCGAAGATCGGGGACGGCGTGTTGGGGTCCAGCTGCGGCGGCACGAACCCCGCGGGGGCTGGCTTCTTCTCCTCCGTCGCCGCCGCGGCGGGCTGATCCTCCGCCGCCGCTCTGAGGGAGGTGGGTGCCCTCGAGGTGGGCATGGAGAGGGTGGATGAGCGCGGCTTCGCCGGTGCCCAGGCGGCGAGGAGGTGGCACTTGGCGGCGGAGGCTTGCGTGGCCATGGCCATGGTGGTCGGAGGAGGAGAGAGGAGGGTACCGTGTGGTGGATTCGATTCGAGTGGTGTGGTGTGGAGGAGAGAGATATCGGAGATGGAGTAAGAAGAAGAGAGGGGAAATGGGTGAGGAAGTGGATAAGGGGATATGAGGTTGGCCAATGGCGGGTAGGGATTTTGATACGCGGCCTCCACACATGCATGTCACCGTGGCACTGGCCCCTCCCTCCCTATCTGATGTGGCATCTGTCAGTGTGTCGTTCTTCGGCGCTATACCCTCGTGGATGGCAGCCACAAACCCATGCAGCGCTCCATCTGCAGCCTCACTGACGCCACGGCTAGTAGAGGAGATCTACAAGGTGGCAGAGAGGAGCTCCATGGCTCATGGCATGGCTATCGAACAACAAGGTTGGAGGAAGAAAACTAGAAAAGTGGCTGCCTGGTTGGTGTTAGGGCACCCACAATGTTATAAAATACCAGATAGTAAGCATTAAATGGCTTCTTACTACCTGGTATTAGCTATTGTGGAAGTGGTACATAGTTAAAGCCAGCAAGTAGCACTACTGCCGGTAAAAAGGGAATAAAAAAATAGAATGTGTACAGTGGAGTTCTGACAACAAATTTTAAATTGCAAGTAGCCATTGCTGCTTCCAACCGTTGCTCTCCTCCCTAGCCAACCGTTGCATGGACTGTTCTTCTTATCATCTTCATCCCCTACAAAAATAGAGATGGCTCAGGATTTCTTTAAATCAACACAAACACATTTTGTGAAACTTAGCTAGCTGAGAGCCTGAGATGGATCCCTCCAAGAGAGGTTTCATGAACTTGTTAAAACAAGGCTCCCCAAGCCAACATTCTAGCCAAAACTCCCCTCCTACTTAATTCCCCTCAACTTTCTCCCAATCACAATTTCCCCGATCCCCACATTTTACCCAAGCCTCACCACCTAATTTCCAAACCTTCAACCCTTTTGGTCCTCCAGCCAACTATCACCTATATGGTAGTTCTCCTCCAAACTTTCAAGGTTTTCAGTAGCAAGCAAGCTGGTTACAATATGCACCAATAAGCTTTCAAGGTTTTCATCCTAAAGAAAGTTGGATGCACTCACCATATCAAGTTGTCGGGTCCGCCTCATCTCATGGATCCAAATCAGCCTCTCAGTGCCCTGCAAGACAGGAAGATAACAATTTGGTTAACATCGAAAAGTCAAGTGACAATAGCCAAGAGACAGGGAGAAGAGGGACACGCGTCAAACTGGACCGAAGAAGAAAACTTACGACTCCTCAGCTCTTGGTTGAATAACTCACTAGATTCTATAAATGGCAATGACAAGAAGGGAGAATACTATTGGAGGGATGTTGCTGCAGAGTTCAATGGTAATACATCTAGCAATAACCGCAAAAGGACAGTCGTGCAATGTAAGACACATTGGGGTGGTGTTAAGAAGGACATTGCAAAATTTTGTGGAGCTTATTCTCGAGCTAGAAGAACCTGGAGCAGTGGATTCTCTGATGATATGATCATGGAGAAAGCCCATGCATTATATAAATCAGAAAACAATGATAAAACTTTCACATTAGAGTATATGTGGAGAGAATTAAAGGATCAACCAAAATGGCGACGGATACTTGAAGAGGACAGCAAGAACAAGAGGACTAAGATTTCTGAATCTGGTGCATATACATCATCATCCAACCAAGAAACTGAGGAGGAGACCAGCCGAAAAGAGAAGCGTCCTGAAGGGCAGAAAAAAGCCAAAGTCAAGCTTAAAGGGAAAGGAAAAAAACATGCACCGTCTCCTTTGGGGGACCAGCCATCTCAAGATTTTGTTCTCCTCAACGAAGCTGTAAAATTGAGAGCAGAAGCAGTGCTGAAATCTACAGAAGCAACCACCAAATCAGCGGAAGCAAAGAAGGAACAAACTAGGATGGAGAAGTATCAGACATATTTAAAGTTGTTGGACAAAGACACTGCTAATTTTAATGATGTAAAACTCAAGAGGCATGAAGCTATCCTCGAAAAGCTAGCTACAGAACTTGCAGAAGAATAGAAGATCCCTAAGTTATGTTTGTACCCCTAGTACTTAGTGTGTCACTGTTTCATTAAGTTTAACTTGCTAGTAATATTTAGACTTGTGATAGGTTTGTAGGGCAAGTAATTGTTGTACTGTGAACTCAGTGAATGATGAATGTAATATTTCACTAGTGAGAAGGCATATGAAGTCCTGCTTAACATCATTGCAGGTCCAAAAATCTTGCCTTTAGGTTCATGAGCGTGCCAGTTGATTTGATCATGCAATCAACAAGAAATAAAGACAGGAAAATAGCGGTTAAATCTATAAACAATAGCCGATCGGCTAGTCGCCGATCACGTATCACTTATCTTTGAGCCGATGTCATATTTGAGTCAATCGGCAGTCATAAATAGGCAAGAAAGAACTAAATATATTCGATTGGCTGAAGATATTAATGATATATAATACTTCCGTCGATATATACTTAAATCAAGTGATTGGGATAGATCGGTCGTCATGCCGAGACAATATAAATCACTTAGGTCGAAATATATATTAACAAGGAGATTATAAGCATTCATAGCATAGCCGATCAGATAGATCCAGCATGTATCGGCTAATACTCCGATACTACTTTATATTAAGATATTAAAGCAAGCAAAAATATATCAAACAGGAAGCTTAATATACCTAAATGCGACAAGATCTTAACATAAAGGACGGATTTAACATGTCAATCAAGCATATAAAATATAAAGTAGTTAAATCAGGTAAGATCGGTTGAAACTCCGATGCTACCCTAATCGGCAACCAAAAAGCAGGCTAGAGATTAAGATTCTAATCACGACTTATAAGGTCAAACTCAACTGATGCAGCTATAAGTTTGAAAAGAAGGACAATATCTTGACAATCAAGCATTTGAATGTTTCATAGGGTGGTGGATATCCTATATAATCTAAGTCAACATTGATATTTAACCTAATCGACTGCCTTCCAATGATAAATGTTGGCTGATTGAAGGTTAAATAACAATATTGTCAAAGATTATGTAAGATATATGATAACTCGACGAATTACATAAACAAGATTAGAGTATCATAAAGATGGAAGCACTAATCCCGAGAACACAAGCCGCCATAACAAGTTTTACCTCTAGTTGAACATCGAAACCGATGCAGCTCAACCCGAAAGCAAGAACTCGTCGAAAGTAAACGAAAGTAAAAGGGTGGCGATGCGCTGAGATTGTATTGAACGTGTGTTAATTGATTACATGGATTTGGGTCATATTTATACCCGAGATACAAAATATGTCTTTGCTGGACACGACACTTATCTCTAACAAACTCTAAGATACCATAAGTCTTTGCGGCAGACTTTTGTCCAAACATATCTCTAAGGAAATTACATAAGATATCCTAATTAATAGATACAATTGCCTAAACCGAAAGCTTTATCTCCATCATGGCAATCCCTGTGAAGCACTTTGAACGATTCTAGAAATAGCCTTGAAACTTGTCGGTGATATGGGACCGGGAGTATTGCGCCCGGAGGCTTGAGGCAGATGGAATCGCCCACGTGGCCTGGCACCTTCGGGGACGTCGGGCCCGAGGGTGAGGTGTCCGCCCTCCTCCTGATCTCCCCGAGGGGGGGTCGGGTTGCTCCTGCCCCGGCCCCGAGGGCCGAGGTGCCCCGACCCCTTGTGGGGTTTGCACTATGTACATAGGTTGGGTGAACACGGTAGGGCTCACCTAACCGCATTTATTGCGGTCTGGTCAAGCGTGTCACGCTGCATGCAGCGCAATGCAGCGCGCTCTTTTATCCGGTCTGTGACCAGTCACAGACCGGTCAGATCAACGGTTAGGTGGCGACTGGCGGTCTGACGCACGCCTCGCCCCGTTCCGTCAAGACGAGAGCCTCTAGGCACACGTCTCCAGCCGGAGCTAGCGTGTTACCTCTTAGAGATGGCACGTTAGCCCTGGTTAGATGAATACCAGGCTTCATCCCAACCATTACAGGCAAGATGCTACAAAAAGAAGGGTGATCATGCAGATCGCTGAACTGACGCATAGAGGACAAGAATGACCGATCTGTGACCGGCCTGACACTGGTCGCGTCAGCAACAGACAGCCACGATCCCACGTTGCGCCTGTCTCCGCCGGGAGTGGAGGTAGGTGTGGGCTGTCCCATCGAAGTGTCATTCGGACGGCAACCATACCAATCTCCGTCCATAAAGAGAAGAAAAGTCCAGTTTGGAAAGGGAAGGGTACATGTGGTATCCCCTTAAGATATAAAAGGAGGACCATGCCCACAAAGAGAGGTGACTGGATTTTCCCGGGAGAGGAGAGGGCTGGTTGATATTTTGTAACTTGCTCTTACACAGATCCACCAAAAACACAGGAGTAGGGTATTACGCTTCCCAGCGGCCCGAACCTGTATACATCGTCCGTGTCTCGCGTTTCTTCCTGGCACGCGATCTTTCCACATACAGAGAGAGCTTGAGATCTCACCCTAAGCCCCCGGCCGAACTGGCAAAGGGGGGCCTGCGCGGTCTCCCGGTGAGGAGCCACGAGCTCCGTCATCTGGCGCGCCAGGTAGGGGGCTCAGCGTGTGTTTTCTGAGCTCTCATACTCTTCCGTGTGCGCCAAGTTTCCCTTGTTCAGCCTAATGGCCGAGCAAGCAAAGGCGCACGACCTCTCTCCGAGTGTGAGCGGCGACGACGGGGAGCCAAACCCGCGCCGTCGAGCTCGTACTCCCCCACCTCCTCCACGCCAAAGTCCTAAGCGGGGGGAGGCGCTCGAGAGGGTTGAAAAACCCATAGCATCACCAGTCGCAGGTGATGCAGGAGAGCGGCGAGACGGGAAGCGTCGCCTCCTCGTCTACGGTGACGGCAGCACGCCCCAGGGAGTGCTTCAGGCTGCTGGCGCGCTCCTACGTCACCCGCCTGTCGTCCCTGACCCGGAGTCTCCAGCCCAGCGATGGCTGGACGACGTGGCCAACTTGGTCATGACGGCACAGCAGCGCCTGGGTGCTGGTGGACGGTCCGCCACCACCAAGACCTCCGGCGCCGCCACTACCGGT